AAATGTTTTGAGAATGATGAGGGCAACAAATGTGCATATGTGCTTGACACAATGGATGTATGTATGGATTGTGATGAGAATTGTATGAGCCCCGAATAAAATAATTTTTAAAAAAATAAGTGGGGCCATGTCTAATTAGTGAATGGCAGTTATGCTAAATGATTATAAGTGGCCATCCAGATGGTCACAATAATGATATGAAACATGGTGGAACATACAGAACTACCAAAGTTCCTAAACTTTGAGGAACGTTGATGAGTTAGAGTCTCCTTTGAGCACAATTATTTGTAATCATATGACTCACAACGGAGCAGTTTTTTGTTGTTGTTGCAAATGTGCATTCATAAAGCATATATACTTACAGATCCATATGTATATATGTATACAACTAAAGACACAATCAGAGAGAACATGTAAAGTCACTGAGAAATATATTTAAGGTCATCTAATTAAGCAAATATGTTCGACACATTCTATGTGTCCAATCTCTGTGCATAGCGTACTCTGGCACAATGTCCCCATGCTCACAAAAACCTGTGAAGGTAGACATTCCCACTGCTGAGTCATTTCCACTCCTAGTGACCCTCTAGAACAGGATAAAACCACCCAGTAGGTTTCTGAGACCATTAACTCTTTAAGGGAGTAGAAAGCCCCAGTTTTCTCCCAAGGAGTGACTGGTGGTTTTGAATTGCTAACCTTGTAGTGAGCAGCTCACTGTATTATCACTATGCTCCAAAGGTAGGAATTAGTATACTCACATTTCAGAAAAAAACAAAAACTGAGATTTAAGAGAATAAGTGACTTGGATAAGGTTACCTATATACCCAGAGGTAGAGCTTGCAAGTCAAGTCTTTGTTTGTTTGGAGATTTGAACTTGTTTGGAGTCACTAAGGACTCCAAGTTCATTTCAGCTTTACTTTTCCTCCTTTTTTTTTTTAAAGCTACTCAGACCAATATTTAGGTTTGAGGGATAAGGAATCTGGAGGTTTAAAAATTTTACAAAGAAGTATACTGTATATATTTACACAGCCATCTCAATAAATGAAATGTAATCAACAATAACCCATTAAACTCTCCATAAATGTGGCTGTTCCCACCATCCCCCCTGCCCCACCCATTCTCCTTCCCTCCTCAAAATCCTGAGATCCACTCAGCTCTTGATCACATGAGCCTGTCTCCATGTATCTTTTAAGATTTTGACAGGATTGTTTTGCCAATCTAGCCCTTTGTTGACACCATAGCATCACCTAACTTTCCTCTGTATTCAAATATAAGTCCCTTCTTCAGAAAACGCACTTGCCCTCCAAAGTCTAGTTCAGCAAGCAACAATAGGACCACCCTGCCCCAAAAGCTAGAATGAGTCACAGGGCCCAAGCGAAGAAAGACTAAATTCTTCATATTTGAGTCACTCAGAAGCAAGACTCCTGTTTTTAACCCACATTGATTCCAACATCACTGGGTCTGAATGGTAGGGGTGCTTAGACATCATTGTAACCCACTAAGGTGTTTATTTACTAGTCAAATGTAAGAAACTTTTGAACTGTCATCCTATATAATCGTCTTTCTGAAATGTTATACAGCTTCCTTTTCAATTCCTCTGTAACTGGCCTAAACGCTACACCTTCTGAAAAGGCGATTCCTATCCATTGAGTTAGCAGTGAATCGTATCCTCCAGACTTCAAGACACGGATCTGTTATCTAATAATTCAGGGAAATAAATGATCAATGTTTTCTCAAGTGCACATGACTCATCTAAAATATATTTACTGTTTCATCCTCTCCTTCTAGCTTTGCTCTGATGAATGCATACAGTGCTTCTTGAGCCACTTCTCTCTGTGCCTCTGGTCTCTGTGAGCAATGATGACTAATGTTCCCAACCCACACTTACTTGTAATGACAAAACAGGGTATATCTAGTTACCAAATCTGGCAAATTCCTACAATCCTAGAGAATGGGCTTCATTTGTTCCTCTACTACACAGAAAACAAATAAACAAAAAAACACTGAAAATGAAGATCATTTTCCCTCTATATTATTCCTATCTGACAGAAACGTGTCTAATTGGCTTTGGCAGTACTCCAGATTTACATTCTGGTAAGACCGTCAGGTTATTTTAGAAGGTTTCTGTGTTAGAGGTATACTGTATAATGGTTAATTATATTTAGAGGTAATGTTTTCTAACAAGATTTGTGGCCAAAGGTTATTCTTTGATATTAAAAGCCTTTCTTTTCTGTCTCCTGGAAGAGAAAAAAATACTTGTCACTTTCTTCTTTGTTGACTTATCCTAAATATTTATTTATTCCTTTGATATACATGGTAGTTAGTTCACAGGTAAGAGATTCCTTTAAGGTGCACCCATATTACTATGATTTGAGAATGTTAAAGGTTGTTGCTAATGGCAACTCAATGCCATCCTTAATAATAAATAGCTCTTGCCATTTAATATCACCATTAGTCTATGACCTTAATTTACCTTAGGCAGTTTATATACACTCCTCTCCTATTTCTACACCACTACATGTGGTAACAGGTATCAAATGAAAGATATTTATCTATGAATGGAGAGATGTTTGTGAATGAGTCTTTTTAAAGTGGTGATGACCTGATCAACTCCGGTTAGGAAAAACAGAACTAGATGCTGCTGTAACTGGAAGACAAGCAGGACAGAGCAGTGATAAAAGAATGCGGCTTTAAATTCTGTCCTTGCCACTTTCTGGCTTTGTGATTGTCCCCAGTGGTACTACCTCCTCTTCAAAGTTGCTTTGCCCATTTGAAATAGAGGAATGAGCCCAGAGCTCCTCTCACGGGTCTCTGTGAAAATGGTGTATATTCCACAGCATGTTGACTGAGGAAACCCTTTCCAAAGCACCGAGAGAGCAATTTTTTTTGCCTCGCCTACTTTGCCATTTTTAAAAAAGCAAAAACACAAACAGAAAACACAACTCTCCCTTTTAGACCTTAGAATACGTGTTACGAAAAGTATGCCTGTAAATAATGCAACACTGCCAAAGTGACCGGGCCTAAAGAAATCAGCAAAGGTTCATACAAAAATTATATAAAAACAAAACCAAATCTAACCAATGGACCTCCCTGCTGTGGAGTCGATTCCCACTCAGAGCACCCCATAGGAGAACATGGAAACCCTGTGGGTCCTGAGACTGTAGCTCTTTGTGGGAGTAGAAAGCCTCAACTATCCCCCAGGGTGGCTGATGGTTTTAAACCTCTGACGCTGAGGTTAGTATCTCAGTGTGTAAGCCACTATGCCAGCAAATAGGGACAGCCTGAGTAGATGATACTCGGGAAGCGGCTAACTCAAACATTCTCTACGCGTTCATGTTGCCTGGAGGAAAACAGGGTGCAAACAGCTAGAATAAAATTAATATAAAGAGACTATATATAAAGAAAAATTTGAGGCCACAGGGTTCTATTGTCAATAATGATTTAAAGTGCTTAACATAGCACCAGCACAGGGTGAGTAAACCCTTAGTAAAGATTAGTAATTATCATTATACCAAAGTGTAAGTTTAAGGAGATTTAATAAAGCATTTCCCTTGGGATGTTTTCTTGGCCTCTTAATACATTTCCAAATTTCCCTGCGGTACACATGGATTCTTTCAGAAGATATTTTTGTCTCCATTTAATCCACTTCTGAACCCATCTCTGACAAGCTGTGCCCATGTTCCCTGGAGTACTTTACAATGAGCCAATAGTAGCCGACAAAGTCACCATGACAATCATACTAATGTAATCCTGAGGGATCAAACGGTTACCATTTTGGAATGGATAGTGTTACCTTCGTGAGAGATTTCTTTCCAGGGATTCGGTGGGTACATGAAAGCTGCATTCTGGATTTGGTCATGTATGTCTTCATCTTCATTAAATGGGAATGTGCCGCTTAGACTTACATAAATGATTACGCCAACAGACCACATGTCTAGAGAGCGATTATAGCCCTTGTTCCTTAGAACCTCAGGAGCCAGGTAAGCTGGGGTGCCCACCACTGACCTTCGGAAAGACTTCTCTCCAATGATCCGGGCAAAACCGAAATCACAAAGCTTTACCTGTGACAATGAAGAAATGGTTAAGATCACAAATTTTGTGTCCATGTGTATCTCAGCCATACTCTCCCATTGACAATTATAATACTTTACACATAATTTTAAGAATTCCTCATTGTAGAATTGGGAGCTCTTCTCTATTTTATGTGCATAAAGGCAGTGGCTTATGTCCTGACACAAAGAGTGGGTTTTTCTTTTATCCCATAAAGAGATCAACTACACATTCTTCCCTCATCCCCCTCAGTTGCCAAAGATAAATGCAAAAGAAACTGTGCTGAGGAATGCTGATGCCATTTTACAGAGCACAAAAACCTGATGTGACTCAATGCAGGGAAGGGCTTAATTTGGTGGACAAACAAGATAGTGCACCGTCAGTACCCTGCATGCTGGATTGAGATGCATACTATTCCGATGATCCTGTGGTGGCAATTCTGCTATATTTTGATTATGCTTGTGTATGTTGGGGTGTGTCTCAGAGGTGCACCAAGAGGGGGGACACCCTCTTGAAGCTTGTTTTATCTATTTCTCTGTAAATGAAACTGAGGGGCCTGGAACCTATAGGGCAAAAAAATATCACATGCGGTCGTAGGGAGAGGTGTTATAAAGGGGTGAAGGAGATAAGAAGGAAAGGGCATCAAGAAGCCCAGGAAGGAAAAATATGTATTAGGGCCCAAGCTATAGCAAATTAATAATATATATATTTTTATATAGATCCAAGATGGAATTCTGGGCTCACACTGAGTCCTAACTCCAACTTATGAACAATTAGTTCTAAAATCATGGCTCTGCTCCATACTTGCCTTTGTGACATGATCACTGAAGATAAGGGTAATACAGCAAAGTGTGGCGAAGAAAGTCGATGGTGCCCACTATCAATCGAAATAGTGACTGGGGTTGTAAAGGCTTATATTCAAACAAGCAGCCATCTAAGCGAAGTGTCAACTAAGTCCACACAGAAGCACACCAGCTAGTGTGATCCAAAGATGACAACTACAACATTCAAATATGGTGAACAGAAAAGTATCAGAGCTAAAATTACAAACACCCAATTTGTGGAAGGCTATGGAGGACAGTGGGAGCCCACAACCCATCTGCAAAGTGTATATAGTCAGCCCAAGCCAGCGGCCAGATCTGCTATAGCCAAAGGCAAGAGTCCTAAACAGCCATACTAGCAGGCAGAGATCACTGTAACCTTGATTATGCTGGATAGAACTTGATACTTGGCCACTTGACCTCTCCATAGACACATCCTGAATTTTTTCTGGGGGTAAGTCTTTCTTAGATGTTCCATGACAAAAATTTCCTCCCTGGTTTCTTAAATGTTGAAGGGGTCTTTACCCTCTCACAGATTATTTGTATTTTCCCCTTTATTCTAATGTGATCTTATCCTTACCATCTTATGAGGTTTGTGTTTCATTGTTTTCTGGGGGCTTTCCTGCTGTGAAGTGCAGGAGGAGTGGATGTACAATGATACTAACTCATGCAGAGTGTTACAGGGAATGTAGAGGATGGGTATGGGCGGTAGGGAGGGGAGGAGACTTTGGAGTAGATAATGGAGGTAGCACTGGAGCTGATCCTGAGGGACCAGTTCACTTTGGGGACAAATCAACCATGGTGGAAAGGAATGCTCTAGGAGGGATATGGTTGTGATTGTACAATGCTCTAGGAGGGATATGGTTGTGATTGTACAATTCCCACTTGATATGTTTGAATGATTAAACTATTCAATTCTGTGATATATAAATTATGTGCCAATAAACCTGTTTGAGGGTGGGGGGGACTGGTAAGTAGAAGTTAAATCAGGAATGAAAGAGGTTGGGAGACATAACAGGACAGTGTGATCAGGCACTTTAAGAATATATATATCCCAGGAGGGGACATCTTCAGCTTTCCACCCTCCACACCAAATAAAGGAGACTATGTTGCCCTTGATAGCAAAACTCTAGTGTCTAGTGCTCAATGTTAGAGGGCTGGCAGCAAATCTGAACGGCATTAAGTCTTCTCACTCTCAGGCTTACGCTTTAAACCCTAGCCCAAGCCTGACAGTTCTTGCTCTGCAAAACAGAGGCCAGAAGGCAGAATGCAGGTATTATGTGGTATTAAGGCAGACAGACCTTAAAAGAGAAGCCAGAATGAGGAAGCAACAGTCCCGAAAATGTAATAAGGAAATACATTTGAAAGAAAGAAAGGTTTGGATGCCCCTGCCCTCCTCGCCCATCTCCCCTCACCCTGTAAAATAAACAAGAACAAAAAAAAAAAAAGAGAGAAAGAAAGGTTTGGAGAGAGAGCGAAGGAGATGACAGAATACAGTGTGAGAGATGGTGTTGGCGGCCCGCTGGACTTATGCCTTCAGAGAGGCACTTGGACTTGCCTGAGGGAGAGGCTCTGCTGATGCTAGCAACACATTTTCTGGTTTGAGGTCGCAGTGAACAACATTTTTGAAGTGAAGATGTCGCAAAGCCACTAGTATCTATAAGTGAGAAAATAATTTTATTTCAGCCTAGTAGTTTATTTCCATATGTTTTCAATCAGAACATACATTTTTTTAAAAGTCAAGAGAAAACCAGGCCAGTATCACCAACCTTCTTTATATTTAAGACACTGAAATGAACCAGAGGAAGCGAGCAGGTTTCTAAGACAAATTCCACAGAACAACATAACATCTTATGGCATTCCTACAGAAGCCCCAACAGGGGTGAAGGCACTAAATAGTAGCTAACAGATATTCATTCAGGACTATTTTCACAGAACCAGGACTTTCCACCATAAACGCAAGAATTTCATGAATAGCTTTAATACCTATACTTGCAGACGCGTTACTAAGTTGTTCTATTGAACTTGGGATGGCACAGATATAAAGCAGATAATACAATAAGCGCCTGCAACCTTTTACAGTGCAGATTAGACTTCGTAAATAGAGACAAAACAACAAGGTTGGAGCGCTGTAGTTAAACAGTGATAACACTTGATATTAAATATTACCTTTTTTCTTTCTCTGACTGATTTCATACCTGAGTAATTAAAAACTTCGTGATGTGCTCTGGCAACCTGCCCCTTTCACTTGACAGGATCATCTCCAGCATGTCTCCATGGAGTTTTTCCATAACAACAAACACTCTTTCAGGCGTTTCAAACATACACTCCAAATTTACAACACCGGGGTGATGAAGGTTCTATTAAAGATAAATAAAGCACTTGAAGAAAATGAGTTTTTTTATACCGTTTGGCAAGCTCACTGATTATACAAAACTGTTTAAGCTTAAAGCTATGGAAAAGCCCATGCTGAAGATGCTTAAAACCTCAAAATTCCACATGTGCTGTCTTATACTTTTTTGAAATTCTAATGTCTCCAAAAATTATCTTTACTTTCTGTGCATAGTGAAATGATTTTTTTTCCAAGCTAAAAAACCGAAGCTCCAGCACAGTGAATTGTTAATTAGGCTTTAATTAGAATACCATATTGAGGAATCTGCAATTTCTTAGGATCTTCTCCAATATTAAGCATACTGTCTTAAATAGGCATATCGGGGCCATGTCTGGTAAAGATGTACTGTGGGAAATGTAAAATGTATTAAACGCGGTTCATGTGACTGCCTGATGAAGCATTGTAGTCCCAACTTCGCCAGGAAGAGTACTGCTCCGGGAGACGGGAGGGCTTGGTCACGGAAGCGCTGATGGGCAGGGACGGCCAGCGTACACACACAGAGAATAATCACTGAGCATTCGCTTTGTCCAGAACACCACCCGAGGTGGTACATGTGCGTGCTTGTCAAGGGCTCTATACTGCTTCTGTAATACGGCAGTGGCTCCGTTGTGCTTGATGTATTCTTGTTACATGTTAAGCACAATGACTCTTCACATTCGATGTTCTCTTGGACTGATGTGGAGTATTGTTCTGTGTCGTCAGGCGAAGGCTTTGAGCGTTTAATCTTTGTGGGTTTTGTATGCTCACAACAAAAAAATATTTCTGTCGTTTTCTTAATTTTCAATGATAAACAGAGAAAAATCACCATGAAAAAAATTGCGGAAACAAAACAAACCAAGAAAAACAAACAAAAACCATCTCAAGTGCTCTAACAGCTGAGCACTTAAAAAAAATTAAAATGCTGCATTTAAGGGGGGGAAATCCCAATGAGTGATAAAATTGCATATAAAATGATTTTTTTCACAAGCAACTTAAAACCTGAAATGGCTTGCTATTCAGAAACTTCACAGATGGAAGCTGGGTGGTAAGCAGCAGACGGGGTGGTGGGTGGATCTGCACCATGGCTGATGTTCTCCGAGCCCCTAGTTCCCAAGAAAAACCTGGCACTGACTGGAGACAGAGTTGGGCTTGGACTGGCAGTGGCTTCCAGGACAAGCGCCTATCTCTCAGGGTGTTTAGCAGTGACGTTGGCAATTTTTAACTGTGCCTCAGGCATCCTATGAGTCTTACTGATTTTGATGGCTTGGTACCAGATCATGCAGTATGACAGTCATGGCATGGCATGTTTATAAGGTGCTGTAAGCAGATCAGATGCCTTTTACCTCAGGAGGAATGGAGTCAATGCCAAGGAGCTGGTGTACTGTTAACTGGTCAAACTGAATACCTTCAAGTGGACTAGATCTCCAGACTTACTCTCTGCTGGTCAAATCTGAGGTACATGGAGAGAGGATACAGCCACCAAAGCGCATCCTAACACTACTCCTGCTATCTCTGTCCTGACTGCCTATAAAGAAGAGGAGATAACCATCGGCTTTGGCAGTTTTGAGTGTGCCATGTCCTTGGGTGGAGAGTCTACAACAGTTGTATTTGTCTGCTAGGGACTATGGAGCACCAGTGATAGCATGGTTCCGACAAGTGACTATGAGAATGTGCATCCTGCTACCTGCACCTGTGCTGCACGTGATTGCCTTCTCTTTTCCATGATAGAGGAGACACCACATGACAGACCAGCAGCTCTGGTGTCTATAGGGCTAACAGTGGTAATGGCAGTGGTCATGGCAGGGCTTTAAGGGAGATGTTAGAGGACACTTGCCTGAGTTATGATTCTGTTGTAGTTAATTATTTAATCTAGCATTAAGTTCAGGGGTGGGGGTGTTGGATTCCTTAAATGATCCAAGTTTTATTGCTTGAGGGTGAGAAGGTACAACCAATAGAACAAAGGAGAGCAACAGAAGGAGGCTGCAAGGCAGGATGGTATCCTGTGCATGGCCAGAGGATCCACACGAGGGTGAAGGAAGAGAAAGGAGGCTAAGAGAGGGTGACCTCAGGACGCAGGGCAGGAAGAAATGATGCCCTGGTTGCTCAGTCTGCTGCTTCTGAAGATGACGTCTTGGGTTCTGCAGTTTGTGAAAGTGTGGGAAGGGAGGGCCAAGCCACTAGACTTCTGGATATTAAGTAAATTGGCTTTGGAGCATGATGACTAGAAAGATCTCCCAGCTAAATTAGCCAATGTGGTATAACTCATTGCCAATGAGTCAATTTCACCTCACAGTGACCCTATGGGAGACAGAGTACAACTGCCTCTGGGGTTTCTGATACTTTAAAACCTTGAATTTATCAACGCTTTGCTGTTAAAAAAATCATTTTATTTGATACTAATACAAATTTTAATTATATCTTCATTTATATTTACCAAAAAAAAAAAATAAACAACCTTGGTGGGAGTGAGAAGCTTCATCTTTCTTCCATGGAGTAGCCAACTGGTGGTTTCAACCTGATGATCTCACCGTTAGCAGACCAACCATCAACCAACTTTGCCACCAGGGCGCCTACTCAACATGAACTAGGGGATATCAATTCTCATATACCTCTGCCCAAGTCCACATGAGTTCACAGAGATACCAAAGTCCAAAACTAAATATATCCTCTTTCTTCTCACTTATTCTATAACAGGTGGAACCTCATACAGGGTGATGTTATAAGGGGTGCACAGCCACAATGTCCTACTCCCAAAGTAAGGAATTAGCTATAAAGTTTACTCTCCGCTATTTTGTGCCATGTTCAGGGTAGGTAAAAATTCGGAAGGACTCAATAAATGTCCTCCCATAAAATCTTCAAAAGAGGGATAAGGAAATATTTATTTTTTAAATAAAAGTTAGATATAAAATTTCAAAAGGTATTCAGTGAATACATCAAATGTAGGTCATATATACATGCACACAACTAGTACAAAAGCAAAAAAATTCGAGGTGTTTAATCTCATATCATTTGCTCCTGTATAAAAGACATTATGGTTTGTACACTTGACAAACTGGCAATTGAAAAATCTTTTAGTGGCAGTTGAAAATATTTCCAGTAGAATAAGGATTTTCTGAATAGTTAATTGGTTGATTTAAAATTTTGTTATGCATGGTTGAAAGAAGATCATCATAGATACTTAGTGTAACTTGTTTTTATAGTTGGCAGGGACAAAATAATATAAAATAGAATCTAAAGGTCCATGCCTTATTTATCCAAACTCTTTACACTAGGCCAAGGAGAAGAGTTTCTTTAACTGAGAGATTTTAGTGCTGTCAAATTATTATTTTTCTATCATTTATCACCAATATTATCATTATTAATAACTTAAGAACAAAAATTAACTTCAAGTGTGATTTGCTCAGTTTTATTGGTTTACATAAAATATGAAATTAGCTTTCCAACCTTTATCTCCTAATGTCCCAAGTAAATGAGTTAATTTTAAAATAGCATACAAACTTCAAGATCAACAATGCCATCATACTGTGTAGAAAGAATTTTTGCTAACTTCTCAGTCCTTCGAATAATAAATTTCATGGCAGAACAAACTATATCAGTGCACAGGCCTCTGGCCATCTGCTTGTTGCATTTAAGTAATGTAATTTTCAGGAAATGAAACATTTGCTCAAGTACAGGAAAGAATAATGTCCATTCACACATAACAGATTGATGATCTATCCATGGGGTGAATGTAAGTTTCTTGTTTGGGAGTCTGCACAGAAATATCAATTGAAGATTAAGACAAACATTTTCCTGATCCAAGCTCCTACGGAATTTTTATGTAATCAGTTTTAAAAAGTAAAATAAAGCAAAAGTAAGTCCACAGTGAAGAAATAAAGCTTTAGCTAACTTTGATTTTTAGTTTGTGTTTATTCTACCTTATATGTATATACTGATTCAAGTTCAGATGAACTTAAGTTCAGTACTTCTAATGGTGTTGCTCTTCAGCACTCTCGATTCAAGAACATATTTCATGTATTTAGCTCTAATGAGTTAAAGTTGTCATATTTTTTCTTCCTATTTCTTTTACCTTTAGAACCATCTAACACAAACAAATGAGGGGTGGGAAAGAGAATTAGGTTCATTCTGCATGTCTGTTTACCTGACTAGTGGGTGAAGTACTACATAAAATATGGGCACTTCAGACAACTTTTCTACAACAAGGCTAAGTATATTTAACTCAGAGTGACCCAGGGGGAAATAAAATAAAAAATGATGAGCCCAGATGCTACATTTTAAATGGCAATCAGGGCAGAAAAGACATTATTCCACTATGCAGTAGTGTGGGTGTGGTGCCAGGGGCACCTTACTCTGGCTTTGTTAATTCTCAGTCCTGTTTGTTTTTAGAATTGAAAAAAAAAATCATATATTCTCCGTACCAGGGTAATTACAAAATCATAGTAACTTTTATTAAAGAGAAATGCCAAGTTATCTTTTCTTGACACATCCGCTTCTAGACCTAGCTACTTCTGAAGGTGGAGTGTCTATCTCTCTCACCACTCCCTGAAGAACTGGGTGTTTTTATATTTATAGCATGGGAGATGGCAGTTTTGGTATCCTGGAGGGATTCAAAGTATGTTCCTTTTCAATGTTACTTGGGTCTGGGGGGGAAAGCTGTGTGACGTAGTGTGGTCAGCACTGAGGGGGAGAGGCAGGGTTTCCCAGGGAAATCCTCATTGCACAGCCCTGGCTTCCCTTAAGCGTGAGTCAGTGCGCTATTCCTTCACACTACCTCCCTTTTGTCTCAGAAATGTCACTTTCAATACCCTTAACACTTCTTCCTTATTGGCCCTTGTGATTATCCTGTGACATCTTTGGGAGTCCCCATAACAGTCACCATAATGATCTGAGCTGCTTCACAACCTTGAAGTCATCTTTGAGGTCTTCTCAACCTTCGAAAACCATTTGATTCATGAAAAATCTTTCATTCTGTGTGAAGCAGCAGTCTTT